ACATTCCTCTTCCTACCATTCCTGAAAATATTTCAGATTCACTAAAGCAGCTCCAAATTAACACAGTATTTCTTTTATTTGTTTAATCGACCAGCATTTACCAGTTACATGGATTAAAGCCATTCTTCCATTGTTGTTTTGCTCGTGCCTTAATTACTTGCAGTGGTAATTCTAAGCCAGAAATTAAATTAAATTAAATCGCGTCATAACTTTGGAGGACGACCCACTAGCCATATACATTTCCGCGTGTACCACTGGAGAGAGCATATGCATATCGATGGATAGCAAACGGAGCTACTTTTACAGCCCATTACATTTCTCGCTCTCGGATTTCCGTGCTGAAATGTTTTACTGTTTGATGACTGCATAGGGGGACATTATTGTAGAGCACAATCCCGAACAAGACTCTTTCCATGACATAGGTTACACTCCTCATTTGTCAGCGGCCATGATTTTGAGTCATACAGCATCAACGACATTATGACTGTGTTGAAAAGTCGTTCCGCGTTAGACCGGTGGTTTTTCCAAGTCGGATAGGATATTTGTGACGAACTTGAAAGTCCGCTAATCTAATTTGTTGACAACATAATTTTGACCTTCTGATCTCATCGCATATTGATTTGCTATTTAAATAGACGTAGCTTTCAATTTCTTTTGTACTCTCGCAATTAGCCGTCGTTTGGCCCTTCTGCGTGTAGCAGGTTGCATATACTTAATCCTTGGTCAGATTTTGCATCTTTTTTGTTGAGCTCCTGTAATATTTCTTCGAGTCCTGTGGTATTTCCGCCATAAATGCAATTTATCATCAAATCATAGATATCTGATCCGCACGCTACTGATCTTGTTTTTCCCTCTCCAATTTATCAGACTGAATATTACATCTAAACAAACAGTGAAAAGTTTTGGAAAAATTCTCTTTGCTTTCGCTTTTCTGGACAAGGATCCGGAGAAGGCCCATTTCGACCTGCTGTTTGATCCATAATCATAATCACTCTCTTGTTTTGCCTACAGTAGCGTTTATTCTTCTTCATACTTGACTCGGTTCAAGTTTCTTAGGAAGAACCTACTTGCTTAGTTTGGCATTTGCGCTTTTAAATTCAATGATAAAACGATGTAAAAACAAAAGGCAGCACGAATAAGAAACGCATGAAAAGATTAACTTACCAGAGGAACCCATTGTTCCAGGCACGGTCATGCCACCACCTGAAAATACAATTCATTTTAATATTTAAATATTGAAAATCAGCAATAGAAAACACCTTAACGGTATCTAAACTAGCACTAATTTATTAAGCATTGAATCGAAACTAAATTTAACGTCTGTATATGGACAGCATGACAAAGACCAGTTTTCATGCTTCTACAAGATCTAGAAGAGCAATGCAACTGAACCCAGGAGAAATCCTATCAAGTCTTTATCTGTAAAGTAAGTGTATATCTATTGAGCTAATAAAAATATATCGCTTTACACCAAAATAAAAATATATTATGCTGGTTATAGTAATGTTAAACAGATTTATGTATAAATTTTTCCTTATTGACCTCGGGTCATTGTGACCCAGATCATGGTCATGTTAAGCATAAATCATGAAAAAACGAATTTAAGATCTTTATAATTTTCTTTGCGCCGCCAACTACCGAACTGAAACATGTTCCTATTTGTCGCACTACTGAATGATATATGCCCTGCAAGGTTCACAGAGCCAATTCCTTGGTTTTAATGCTAAACAAATATAGAACCACCAAAATCGCAATAAATTTTAGTGCTAGATATACAAAAATCGAATATAAATTAATTAAAATTCATAATGAATTGATACGCAATCGCTAGAGTCAATGTGGAGAACAACCGTTACGTGAAAAGATGATATGAGTTTGTATATTGCTATTATATGAGCTTGCATCCCAACAAGTTGTAAGTTTTATTCTGGAATTTCCATTTCATGTCTTCAGATATTCAGAACTTATATGGCAAGTGAACAAGATTCACCTTCTGCCCCCCATCAAGAGAGAAACCTACGCTATAAACAATTCCAACCAAAATACTTGAATCATAAAATCTCAAATAATTTTGAGATTACCCATTCCTCCATTCCGTCATTTACAGAATATTTTTTTAAATTCAATCTTCAAATAAGTCACATATATTGCAAGTATACTATATATAAAAATATGTTCTTCTCACGACTCTTTCAAGATCAGATTTCAGGCATACTCCACTCCCTCTTTGCTCATGTACAAACATCTTTGAATGTTCAGGTGGTAGCATATAAAAATTACCGAATTCTGAAAAAATGTTTTGTAATGAGCATCAGATGGCCCTAGCGGAAACATGATTTTAAATTCATGTGACACCACAGGAGCTCAAATACCATGGAGGCGTGGAATGCCCAAACGGTTCCCACAGGTAATTAGGAGCAAACAGTCATGCAATATGCTTGTAATCTTGTTAGGAGGAGTTATATGATATTAAGATATGGCATGGCAATATTACCTTCTTCAAATTATTGCCGTCTTTTCTTATAATTTAGTCAAAATACTGCGATTTTCACTCCGAATACCACCGAGGAAAGGGTTCCTAATATCATTCTTAAGAATTATCAAAAGATTTGCAATTTTCCTGTATGAAACTGCAGGTCATCGTAATCTTACTCCTAATCATCTTACTCCCAACACCGTGTAAGCTCTGACCTCATAAAAAGTAAATTACGGAAGGTCAGGTCGGATCAAGGGTTTGATAAGTCTCAGCTTCATTATGTTGCGGAATTTTCGTCATCAGCGCAATTTCGTCACGAAAGGTCTTGTTAATCGTAGGCTCTCCCGAATCTGGTTTAGAAGTTATTCATACTCGGTAAGGAATCAATCATATTCGAAACTCGTAAGAAGGATGTCCATCGCAAAACGACACGACTAGCAGTCAGAGTTAACTTGGGTTTAACACACACTGAAACTTACAACACGAAGCTTGGCTGACTGGTCGATGACCTGGACCATTGGAAAAGCTACATGATGCACTTACACGTAGTCCGTAAGGAAGAGCGATTTTCAAAACAAATAAATAGCGAAAGAACGAGGTACGGATGAACGAAAGGAATGAATAGGAAGTACAGATAGACCCCGACTTACCATGGGGTTAAGTTCCGATAATCGCATCGTGAGACGAAAATATCATAAGTAGGAAACGACCCCTGTATAGGGTATAGACGAAAACAATGTAATGTATGATACAGTCATACTGTACATACTATGCATAAAGTATTGCATAGTTTTGTGTTAAATCTAACATAACCCCGTACCCTGTAATTTGTAATCCAGTAAATATTATAAAGAACTTGTACTATAGTGCACTTTAGAGGTAACTGATAAACCTCTGAACCTGTATTACAGTACAGTACATACATTTGCAATGTGCTCTGCAGTGATAAATTTTAGTACAATTTAATACAGTGTAAATCAAAAATATTGTAAATGGCAGATTTCTTCTCCGATATTACGGTGGAATGCACAGCGGCAACACCTCTGATAGCTTCCATGGCCTACTCTTGTCTCTGAGAATTGTTGATACCGTTGATTGGGGATAACTGAAAATCACGTGCTATGGCCATGACTGGTCTCCCTCCTTCCCGCTGGTTTATGATCTTCATTTTATCTTCCAAGGTAACAGCTTTCATCTTCTTTTTCTTACTACCAACAGGGGAAACATTAGCACGTTTGGGGGTCATTCTTATAGAAAAAAGCACAATTGTTAAACACAAAATAACACCAAGGGTAAATATTTCTTGAATGGCTGTCTGATTAAAGGTTAGAACGCTGGAGACTGAGGCAGACCACGCGTTAAGTGATGCGATGCTGCCGCTAGCAGTCTCCCAAGCGTACCCAAACTATCGTATGGCATACGCGCACGCTCTGCTGTTCTTCTTCTTGTAAAATGGGAAATATTTTTCGAATTTTCTTGTATCGTAAGTCGAATGATCTAACTCGGGGACTATCTGTAAATGAATGAAAAAAAAAATGAATGAATAAATCAACAACTCAATGAAGAACGAATGAATGAACCGTGAACCACAACGAATAGCTCAAAAGAATATTCATTAAACAAACGATTAAACGAATTAGTGAATACAAAACTGAATTAATGAATGAATCCATTGATGAATATTGAAAATATCAAAGCACGAAAGCGGGACGAAGAGGGTACATGAGCAAATGAATGAATAAATGACGGAATGATTGAACGAAGGAGTGAAAGAACATACAAATGAATAAGTGAACGACTTAGTGAGTCAACGTACAAATGAACCTTCTTCTACCTCGTGCGTTCGTTTTAGCAAAGGTCCGCTAATCAAGTCAGCTGCATCTAACTAGACAACAAAATAAACGTGCGGACAAACAAATTAACCAATCAATCAGCAAAGTGAACGAGGGCATGAAAGCCGAGTAAAACTGTTTTTATACAGTTTTCAGATTCTAAAACTATGCTTTTTGCTTTAACGTACCTGAGTAAGGTATATGTGCTGATATGGGCGTCATGGGTACCGACATGGGTTGTGAGGGGTATACGGCGCCGGAGCCTAAATTCGGAGTGGACACAAGTAGCTGAAGTTAAAAATACAATGTTCCATAAACCATACTTGTAACACCTTCTTGTACGGTAAAACACATAAACGGCATGGAGCCTGCTTGACATCCGCCCATCATTTCTAAGAAGCGAAAGTGTAGGTGAAATCGCAGTTAAACGATTGGCAAAACGAAGTTTGAAAATTAACAACCTCCAAAAAATTTATAAAACAAATTAATGGAGGCAGTTCCAGGTTCCTCGGACAAATGAGCATCCAAACATGAGGGCCCAAGTTTGAACGTTCTTTTTACCTTGCGGGTTAAAAGGAAAGTAATGTCTGATTATAAGTGATATTTCTGGCTTGAGGGAATTT